GTTACCCTTATCCTGGACTTGTACCTGTGGTTATTTATTTAGCCTCAGTCTCATGGACTTTCTTGTTAAGTTGATTGTCAATGGAAAAGCAGAGGAGAAAAGAACTTGCTGGAGACTGAGTACTCAAATTTCAGTACTTTCAAAGTTTAAAACTGACTTTCAAAACCTGAAAAAAAAAATTCTATAATGTTTGCACTAAGAGAAACTTTAGACTGCTTAGCCATTGCTTTGGAACTAAAATGGCAAAATCCCAATTTTTCTGATGCAGGTACATGAAGTAAGAAAAGTACCCTCAATTTAAAAGAAGAAAAAATAAAACTTGCGCTAAATGTCTGGATCCTGATTTATTTTTAAGAGCATCTTTCACCTCCAGGGGAAAAAAAAGAAACGTTTCCCCATTTCTGGATATATCTCCAACAAGAATTTTTCTTGTCTTACTAATCCTACCAGACCCCAACTCTATTGTGTCCATCAGAATAAATAAAAAAAGGCAACTCAGCAACTCCTTCATGACTCAAACCAGAACATAACCAAACAGAACAACTATTGAAAAAGTTTAATTATGACCTTCAGTTTAAACTGAAGAGGCCAAAGCCACTCCTCTAATGTTCCCCACTAAGGACAAAACATCAGTTCAGTGCTGCAAGACTACAAGACCTAACAAGGCAGCCCTACAGCAATAAAATAAAGGACCTAGAATGTATTCTGCATTTCAGCAGCCTGAATGCCCAAGTTCAACCCACATTACTTGCAGGATAAGATGAGATGTAGAACAAATCTACCAGAGCAATTCTCAACAGCCCCAGCAACCTCCCCTGTAGCAGAATATCCTCACCTACAGCAATACACACCTGGGATTCCTACACCCTCTCTTGGGCACTGCCCAGGAATTCCACGTACATCTTTATAGGCAGACAGGAACGGATCAGAACTTTACACCAGATTTTCCAGGTATTTCTGCAGAGCCTTCCACATGCAAACTGCATCCCCCCCATGGCAACACCCACAGTGGAGACCTTCTGCAGGCATATCCTCTAGGACCTAATACTTCAGCTGTCCCTCTGCAACATCCCACTGACAGGCAGGATTCGCCCCGGACTGTGCTCACAAGCTCTACAGACCCCTCCATACCAGAATGATAAGTTCTGTTGTGATAGAGTGACACAGCACAGGTCACACTTGAGAGGGCCACTACACACAGAGAATCATCAAACACTTTCAGAAAGCTCCAACCCATACACAGCAACACCTTACCACACCAGAACACTTCAGGTGCCTGCCCATACAGAGTAACATCACCTCAGAAAGCTGCAAGCCTCTGCCCTTCTTGTTCTTTGGCCCAACCTTTCATACCCCTCATGTTGATGCACTGCACCTGTGAGCCCTCTGTTTCCTTTGGGGATTGGTCAGTAACACCTCAGCACTCCATGGCTCATCACCTCCAACACTGCTCACCTGCTTCTCACAGCTGCAGCCCATTGGGGATGGGGCTCGGCCACAGCCCCACTCCCAATTCCCACAAACTGTGTGCCTACACCAGAGCAATATTCTTCCCTCAGCTTGAGGAACTGGGCTTCATGTCTGCTTAATGACTGAAAAAGCAAAGGCTTTTTTCTGGGTTTTAATCAATTTTATCCTTGACATCATTTGGATTATTTTTTGATGTTTCTTTAGAAGCTCTTTATGCCTCCTTACCAAATAATACAAAGTGTAATCATAAACACTGGAGTAAAGCAGAACATGCATCATTATGATAGTGTTTACACCAAATAAAAAGTGCTTTGCATCTTCTCACACATAGTAATCACATATTTCATGTTCAAAAAGACTGTCTTTGCACAGAGCAGCTAAAAATGCAGAACATTTATTCTCAAGCTCAACTCTGACACGTTTGGAACTCAGCTCTTTCATTACAGTAATTTTTTCAGATTTCAAAGTGATGCTTTTGTACACAGTAAAGTATCCAAACGCTTTGCAAAGGAGGATCTGTTACTTCTTTGTGATCAAAGTGTACATGAAGGATTAGAGTAAAATTAAGCAAAACACACATCTGTGTAAAAGATACAGCAGCAAAAAAGCAGCTCCTCCTTGAAGCCAAGAAACCAGAAAGCAAAGTAAGCGTGCATTACAGCACGCATCTTGCTCTCAAATACGTGGAAAAATCCTTTGTAAATAACATTCTTTATACAGAAGGCAATGAACTTTCTGAAATTTTCAAGGTGAAGGTTTCCAAAGCTCTGAGTCTACTGTGAGATTAGACATGGTGTGGGTTGATGTTTTCAATACCAGAAAGATGCTCCACATAAACAGCTGAGTGTAACTCATTAAAGCTGGTCTGATACACTTTGAAGCAAAACAATCATCACTTCTGAAAGCATCTCAAGGTTGGGTAGTTGATCAATACAAATAATATTTCCACATTATCAAAAAAAACTTCATTCGTTTTTAGTAAAAAGCACTTGCTTGGAATCAAAGGAAAGATCTTACGTGAGAGATGCACGTTTCCTGCTAAATTGCAACATAAATGTAACTTAATGCTGTTTTACACTGGACACACAGTCACTCTAGAGCTAGGGAATTATCATGACCTCCAAAAATTTAAAATTACTTTTGGATACTATTTGCCAACTGTGTTAAAAGTTAACATCTCCATAAGGTCAAGATATTCTTGCAATATATGACTAAGCCAGTTCATCTGAAATTTTCAACTCGGGGCCCGTGAACAACACAATTCAGGCAGCAGAGACAGATAAATCCCCTCTGTCTTCACTTCTTTCTTTCAAAAGCTGTATATTCACACACATCTCTCTTTCATCTGCCTCAGATCAAAACAATCCTCCTCAAATCTGAAATGTGTAAAGAAGAATCCTCCTCATAAGAGCCCTTCTGACATCCCACGCAGTGACAGCGCTGCAGAGATAACGTGCAACCCATTTCTCCAACTCCCTCACTTTAGCCTTAAATGCAGTCTTTATTTGTAGTCCCATACCTCACATCACTGCAAATTCCTGTTCTGGAGCTTGCACAAACTACCCACATCTCAACCCAACCTGTAAATATTACTTAGCAGATCCCAACATGCAAGATGTTAGCTCTCCAACTCACTTCCTCCTGATCTACTTTCCAATCCTCTGCAGTAAGAATCTGCCTCAGCTTCCAAATCCCTCTTCTCTCTCCACCACCTTCACAGGATTGTTCCTCTGTACATTGCACTCTTGATCTCTAATACACAATGTTTGTCCTCTCACAGTTCCTCTTCCACTGCCCTTTTCCATTCCTTAGTTATTTAAAATACTGTTTTTCCATAATGCTTCCTGCCTCTAAGCACTTGCAGAGCCACAGTCCTTTAATGAGAGGAACTGGAACATGGATCCGTACATGCAGGTATCCCAGCAGGTATCATTCACTTATATCACATGTCAGCAAACTTCCTGCATCATACTTGACACAAAATCTGTTCAAACAGAATTCTGTGACTGGAAGGCCATCTCAACTGTCTACTACAACATTAGTTTGCCCTCAACTTCACAGCAGCTGCCACAGATCTTTGGGTACTGAGATGCTCGCTGGAAGTCCCCACAGAATTTTAGACAGTACCCTCCTCACATGCAGTAGTTTCTTTCAAAACCTGGCTTAGTTTAATTTAAAACAGGACTAAAAGGACAAAAAAAATCAACACAAGTTGATTTCAACCTGTTCACTCAATTCTTAACAACAGATTTGTACTGTACATATATTTTTGCATTGATTAAGTAAGTTTCAAAGCTTTTCTTCTACTCAGCACATAAATATAAGCAATCATAAAGGATGAGGAAGCAAGTTTTCTCTTTTTTCCCAGAACTAACCAGCTGCTAAGATTTGTTTATTTAAGTCTGCGTGCCACTGCTCACCTACAGATGATGGAGAGTGACAAGTCATTTGGGAGTTTCCCACCCTGTATATTTCCTGTGATTCCAATAGGCTAAAACAATTAAATAATATTTTGATCTCAACAAAGCAAGATTTTTATACAACAGCTGTAAAAACGCACGTTGACAATAAAAATTTCTGAGTGTATTCAATGTTTTCCTCATACAAAACCTTTTCAGAACACAGATGATAAATGATGCTTTACAAAGAAGAATGATTCACATATCCTGGTAGGCCAAATATTTTGTCTGGACTGACTATAGACTAAAAACAGAGCAAAAAAACAAAGAGCTTCCAGTAAGCTGAGCATATCTTATGGCCCATATGTATTTAGCACAAAGCAGCTCCTTACCCACCTGCCTGAATGGCACCAGTGCCAACATTCAGGCTGCTCAGCCCAGGTGCCAGCTCACCCCAGGCTGCCCTGTGCAAGCCAGGACTCCACAGCAGCATTCTCCCTCAAGAGAATGGGGCCCTGAGGGTTTAGGCACATTTTGCTCCACATTCTCCAGCACTCCATAGGCTGGGGATGTGCAGGGGATGTGAGCAAGGCTCCACAGTTATTGGCCTCCTGTCATGGCTGAATTGCAAAGGGCTGGAGCGTCACCGTGCAAGCAGCCCGAGCTGCCCACTGAGAGCCCTGCAGGAGCACTGACCTGGGGAACACCCTGCAACAGAGCCCCAAAACAACAGCAGCCCCCATTAACAAGGGGTCCCATAAATACCCAGAGAATGCAATTTCACCCCTGCCTGCCTGCCTGACCCCAAATGAAAGGAATGCATGGCAGTGGTCACGCTTCCACAGCAGGGGCAAAGAGCAGCACGCTGCCGCAGCAGCCACCATCATCCCCTGATGTCATCCTGCTCAGCCTCTGCATGACAAACTTTGTTCTTCACAGCTGCAGACAAGGTCCAAACAACACGTTCGGCTTCCGAAATGAGAACAAAAAGCACAGGGCTACTTCAAACGGGCAATCAAAATTAACACCATTGTCTGGAACACCCTCAGCTGTCCCCAAGTTAAACACTGTTTGTTTGTGTTCTGGCTCGCAGAGGTTAACAGTATTTCATTCCCTCCTTGCCCACAGAACCAGCTGCCAGAGTGCCTTAAATTAAGTGGGGACCGACACAAAGAATGTGAATTCTAAAAAATAATGCTGTATGCAAATTTCTTTGAAATGCACAGACACAAGCTTTGAAACATCGCAAGTGTTACTGTGTATTTGTATTACTTCTAACTCCAGCAGTCTTCCCTAAAGCTGAACTGTGCATTATGTGAATTGTATTTGGCTCATGTAGCACATGATATTTCACCTGATCTCTAAACAAGCACTGCAAATGCTGGTAAATACTTGATTGGAAAAAGACCCCAAAAAAATCAAACAGGAAGACACAAAATTAATATAGATGTGTAAATTTGAATAATTATTAGGGTATTTCAGGGGTTTTGAGAGTTCTCTTAAAACCATAATGTAAGAATAAAGTACGGTTCTGTGCTTGTGCTAAATCACCTATTTCCTTACTGCCATCTCCTGCCCCATAAATAAGCTACACTGCCAAGATTTTGCACATCCAAATGCACTTCCAGTGCATGCCCCATTAGCAGTAAAAATAGTATTTTTTTAACTTCTCAATGCATATTTTGCAATTGCAAGAAACCAAAGGAACTGGTTGTCTGAAATGAGAGCACAAAGAAAGAAAAGAGTCACATCCATGTCCTAGCAAACAATTAAATGCCACTTGACTATGGGCCCATAATTAATTAATAGAACATAACCTCTCCCTTCTGAGGCTGTGGCAGGCCCAGAATCTTAACTGGAGCATATTTTAATGTGTCTGCCACAAAGGCAGGCAAACATTCTCCTAAGTGACAGTAAATGGTGTTCTCATAAGTAAAACTGCTCCTTGCAGAGAGGTTTCCTACAGAAACGACGTCTGTGTGACCAATGGCCTTTAACCCAAATAAATAAACACACAGTGACCCTGATCTGAAGAAAAGTTAGTATTCAAGACACCCTGTTCCTTGTCTGTAGCAGCACTACCAGGGCCATTCCAGACAAAAGACAAAAAATGTGCAGAAATACGTCACTAGTTCTACTGTTTAGGAAATAATTGGCCAACTTGTTTCTCAAAGTCCCTGACTTTTAAAATATCACCCTGCTTAAATGCACCCCAAACAACCCAAAATTTAGTATGCCTAGGGGCATCGACTGAATGTGCTTTCTGCAAATTTATTCACTACACACTCAATCATATTTACAGCAGCATTAATTCTATCTCTCAGACATGATATGTGAGTCATTGTGGAGTCCAAGGCTTGGTTTTTGATTTGAAGTGGGTTTTGGTTTAGTTTTGATTGAAGTTGCTGCAGATTGAAACACAGAACATTACTGCACCTGTTCTTTTAATAATTAAACATATATATATATATAAATATATATATATATATATACAAAAATTTATACATATATATATATACACATAAATTATTTATTTTCTGAAAATGAAGATAATAAACAGAGTAGAGGACAAAATAAGAATTCAAAGTGATCCTGAAAGACTGGGAAAAAAGTTATGAAAAAATGTTAAGAGTGTGACTAAGGAAAATTGCAAAGCTGCAGAGTTAGGCCAGAACACCTGACTGCACATATAAGGGATGGCCCAAATGTGGTTTAGGTAAAAGGGATGTAGAAGTTAAAGCAGACCACAAAGTGACCCTCAAGTGACCCTCAGTGTTGTGATGCTGAGAGCTAAAAAAAAACCCAAAAAAACAACCAAACCAAATAAAAAGTTCAGAGTGATGTCACAGAACTGCCCTGCCCACAAAACCAGCAAGTACCAGTCTCACTCTGTATTTTGGTAAGATTTCATGTAAATGACCACATGCCCACATTTCAAGGAGAAGAGCAGCAACAGGCTGACAACTGTACCCAAAGCCACATGACTCAAACACTGAAAAGTCTCCTGAAAGGCAGCCAGAGGAGCACTGGAGGAGGTTTGAAGGGCTGTTGTGGAGGTCTCTGAGGGTGAGTCAGGATCTGCCCAGGCAGATCAGCAAAGGCTGCAGCCATTGGTGCCCTGGGAGAGGAGAAGGGATCAGGCAATGCCCACTGGTCCTGTCCAGTCTTTAGGGGTCTGGACCACAGAGACCAGGGCTGAGCAGAACCTCTGGAGTTCCCCTAACCCATTGCTGGCCCCTAAGCTGCAAGTCCCAACACCACAGGGGTTTTGGGTGGGTTTTTTTCACAATTCCACACTGTTTATTTCTGAGTTTACTGATGCCATACCAGACTTTAGGCTGAAGTTTCACAGAGAACTGTCCCAGCAAATTCCAAGAACTTTTCAACTAAGTGACAATAGCTAAATTAGAGACCAATGCTATGAATTCTTTCTCACCACTAAATGTACTTTGGCTTGTATTTATAAAAATGCATTTCATCCAAAATTTGGACATTCTAGTCACTCATATCATGAGCTCTGTCTGGAGCCCTTCACCACAAGCTTTATATAATAAAATAATTTTATTATAAATTGATTTATTTATATATTTATATAATTTATAATATAATATATTTAATATAATTATACTATAATATATTTATCTATATTTATATAATTTTATTTATAATATATTTATTTATAATAAAATAATTATTTTATTACTTTCTTTTAATCATCTAAAAGTCTCAAGCATTAAGTATTCCACTTCCTTTTTTTACTTGATATTTACAAGTTGAACAAAAAAAAAAGGTCTGCAAAATTAATTTTGTGAGTCCATGCTACCAATTTTGCGCAAGAACAGTGACCACCTGCAGCCATCCTTTACCAGCAGGTCAAGAGAGGTGATTCCCTCCTCCTACTCTGCTCTCCTGAGAAATCACCTGGAGTGCTCCACCACCTCTGGGGGCCCCAACAGAGGAAGGACAACCCAATCCAGTGGAAGGTTCCCTGCCCATGGAACCAGAGGATTTTTAAGGTCCCTTCCAACCAAAACCATTCTCTGATCCTTTAATCTGTACATAACTCTTGGGACTCTTGCCATTAAATCAGGAACAGCTTAGATTGAGACATGAAAATTTGCTGCTAATTAAGTTTGGCAAGACCATGTTGACAAAACCTTGGTCCATCTGCTGTGAAAACTGTAGAAAGCATATGGTGCTTTATACAACTACATGAAGATCACTGAAGTCCAAAGCTCCTCTCAGCTCACCATCAAATGCAAAAGAATTTAAAAAATCCAGAGTTTTCATAAGACCATAAATCAAATCTAATAAAACATACAATTTATGTTTTGGTCTCTGCAAATCCATTTTCAAAGCTTTAAGAGAACAGTTAAGATTAGGTAGGAAGTACATACCAGACAGACAGTAAGTGATGAGGGTTTTCTACTGCTCATTTCTAGACTTTTTATGGGGATTTTTAAACAGAATTATATTCTGAGTCTTCTGCTTCAGAATTTTATTAGTAGCCATGACTCTTCTTGTTTTCATATAAAACCTAAAATAATTACTGATTTTTGGGGAGTCAGGGAGGAGAAGCAGAAAAGAAGTTAGGGATAGGAAACAACTCAACCCACAGACTTTATTATAACTTTAAGAACACTGGCTGAGAATAAGCAGAACACACATCTCACTTACAAAGGAAGATAGGAGATCCATAGGTTTTACTTTTCAGCATCCTATCCTTAACCATCACAACTTTGGGAATTGAAACATCTCCAAGGTCTTTTCCACAAGACAAAAACAATGAGTTGCAGACCAGTTAAGGCCTTTCTTAAAAAAAAATATTATTGTTATTATTACTTTTATCTGACCCTTACCTCCAGGTTTTCTAACTTCAAATAATGGTAAGCATAATCTCAAGAAAATAACAGATTATGAAAACAACAGTCTTCTGAGTTAGGCCTCTCAAATCCTACCTCTCTGGAAAGAGCAACAATCCTCATTTTTAATCAGAATTAAGTATGCATGTAAACTGCTACCTTCTGTCTTCTACTAGGCTATCAGCAAGAAGAGCAGCTCTGGTTACCAATAACTATGTCTAGAGACTTGACCAGGGAACCCCCATGTTCTTGAACTGCAGTTTTCCAAAGAAGGCTATTTACTAAAACTGGCCACATCTTTGTAAATTAAAAACAAAAATCATAAAGAAACCCATAACCAAGCACGTAAACAATTTTGTAAGAATGCAAAAACATCTTACGAGGTCAGAAAGGCACAAAGCATGTTTTCTGAGGTCTTTTCTCTCTCACAAAAAATGAGTGACAGCCTTGCCTCTTCCAAAACGATGCCATGTGGCAAAAGAGAACAAAATGATAAAAAATAGCCTCCAGGAGATTATTTTGTTAAACATGTATGATCTCATCTCTTTTAATAATAAACACCATAAACAAAATATTTGGAAAACAGGGTGCTGAAACAACAACCTTACAGGAGTGTCACAACTTGAGCGGACGCCATTTACTCAGGGGCAAACCCGGTATCACTATTTATGCACGTTACTCAAACAGGAAAGAGAATCTTTTGAAAGAAGAGTTTTGAATTCCAAATCACAAACATGTGGCTCTCTATGGCTTTGTTTTCTTTTCAGCTGCCCGTAGCTGAAACAACAGGGCCACTTGCCTTGGCTGCGCTGCTGAAGCGCGGGGCAGTCCCAGCTGCAGGCTGGGGACACCCTGCTGAGTGAGGGGCTCAGGGATGCTCCAGCTCTCTCTGCAAAGAACCAACCCTGCTGCAAAGAACCAGCCCTCAGAGCTGGAAAAGGGAAAAACACACAGAGCCACTACTCCAAAGCCAGGTGCCTCAGCTTCAAGCATGCTTACAGGTAGCTTGAGTCAAAACTTCAGCTGGTGAGTGGGAGTAGCACAGAACTGGCACCAGGGTCTAAAATCGCTGCCTCCAGCTAAAGGGCAAACCTGAGACCTTCACAGGTGTTCTCTGAACTCACTTCAGCAAAGTGGACCAGAATTTATCACTGAAAATTAGCATTTCAGTTTTAGTCACTATAAATTACCATGGGCAGAAACATTCCTCTGCAACACTTTGAACACTTGCATGGATTTCTGAACACAAACTGAATATTTATTATGACAGAA